TTCACCATGATTTTCCATTGAAAAATATATGCGAGAATATTTCTACCAGCTTTATTTACAAGAACTAAATTTCTTAGCTCAAGTGTTCATTAAGTGAAAAATTATTTTAAAAATTGTGAAATATTTATATAATGCAATAATGTACATTGTTAAAAAATGAGCAAACTGCTGATATACCAAAAAAAAAAGGTAAATTTCAAAAGAATACATTCCATATGTCCCTTTTACATGAAATTCGAGAACAGACAAAATTAATCTGTAGAAATAAAAGTCAAAATTCTGGTTATCTGTGAAGTGGAGGCAGTTACTATATATTGAAAGCAAGAGTTAATCTTCTATAAAACTGGAAATACTTGTCTCCATTTTTATCTGAGTGGTGTTTATATGGGTATATTCATATATCAAACTTCCTCAATGTGTATACTTGAGACTTGTGTCTTTATTCTACTTAATCTATGCTTTTATCTTTTAAAACAGAGTTCTCTCTGGGTTCTGTGGATATGTGTATCCTTTCTAGTCTTGGGTTATGCACAGGCAGAGCCTCCTCAGTAGAAAAGAGTTCTCACCCAGCATGTACTTGAGCACATCCTTTTCACCAAGTAACACAGAGGTTTGCTTACATTACCTGTCTATAAAAATTCCTCTCAGAGCCCAGCAACAGATCCCCAATATACCACTAGACCTACTTCTTAAGGCAGTCTTAGGGTGAGAAGTTTGCATAGTTTGTAACATGGACTCATAGGCTTAGGTTGTTGTTGTTGTTGTTATTATTATTATTAATGTTGTTTTGCTTTGATAGTTTTCCACTTATAACAACATCCAGGATCTAAATACTTTCTAATCTGGAAGGGAATATAGACCTTTCCAGGTGAAATTATAGAGTTTTTACTTATTAAATAGCACTTAGTTCTCAGACTATTTCTTGTCTCCATACTTGTTCCTTCCTTGTTTCCTTTCTTAAACATTTCAGATAGCTTTTGGCCTTTAGAATACCACTACTTACTTTGTGTGTGTGTGTGTGTGTGTGTTTTAGTTGTAGATGGACACAATATCTTTATTTATTTATTTTTATGTGGTGCTGAGGATCGAACCCAGGGTCTCACACCTGCGTGGCAAGTGCTCTACCACTGAGCTACAGCCCCAGCCCCAGCCCCAGCTCCAGCCCCAGCCCCACTACTTACTCTTTTATAGCTTTAACACCATTTGTTCATCTTTTGTTACTCTTTTCTTTCTCAACTAATTATCCCTCAATTATTTCTTCTGAGTCATTTGGTTTGATATGTTGCTGATTGGGTATTTGGGAGCTTTTTTTTTTTTTGGTTCCATTTTGAGTTACTTGAAACAAAGCTATTATAAATTCTACATTAATAAAGTGAAATTGAAACAACTATGTCATTAAAAATAACAAGATGCATGGCATTATTACCAACTGCATGACCTTCATCAATTCACATTGGTAAAACTTGGCTAATAACATTTTAAATAAAACCAAGGGGCCACTTACCCAGAAACTTACCTTTAGGTTAATATTTTTACAATTTACTGGGTAGGCTTTGGTTATAGTGAACTTCAAAGAATCTCAAAGATTGTCTACCCTACCTTCTTTTCAAATTTTTTAATATATGGAAACAAAGAAGTATAGCAGTTATATCACTGGCATCATCATAAGAAACTAAGCTTGTATAACATCAAGACTCCTTGCTTCTTGATTTATTTCCACACTATGAGAAAGTTAGCCAAATGTTGGGGGCAGGGGTTCATTGCTGAAATCCATTCTATTTACCTGAAATTGCCAGTCTAATCCAGCTCTAAAATTATTTTAGTACAGTTTTTAAACTTTAATTTTGACTGATACACACAAAAATAAAAAAAAAAAATTATATATTAGTTAGGTACCCTGTGACGTTTCAACTCTAAAATAGTAGGTACTGTGATTTCAAATCTCCCCTTGAGACTGAATTTGGGTCAATCTGCCTATTAAATTTCAAATAAAACACTAAAGTAACTAAAACAGACAATTTTTTGAAAACACCTCCCTCCTCCATTCTTGTGAAGAAAAAAGAAATTTGAGTTTTTAAAATTATTTCATTAAGATAATATAATAATTTTGACATCTTCTTCTAGACAGGCACAGGGATAGAAGATAGGTTGAATAGATAGGTGAAGAAATATATAAAAGGTAGACAGATAGATCTCATACTATTTATAACATGAGCATAAAACTAAATATAAATATCCAGACTAAAAAAAAAAAACAAACAAAAACAGTGTTCAGAAGACTAAAGGTGAATGGAGATATCTGGATGATATTGTGAACAATAAAATGAGTCCTGAAGATTTCGTTATTGTTTTTTTTTTTTTCCTTCTCTTTTGTTCATTTATTTATTTATTTATTTTGGCTTAGCACACCCAGAGCAGGAATAAATAAGGGGAAGCCTTTGTTTTTTTGTTTGTTCTGATCTAGCACAGATGTTATCCTATTCATAGGTGATAGGAAGAATAAAGAATTACTCCACTCTTCTTGCTCCTCCTTATTTAAAAGGGAAAATAATCTTCATATTGGAAAGATTCAGAGAAGTGGGCCTTATACTCAAACATGAATTCGAATCCATATGTTGCTTTTAGAGTCAGGGATTTTGTGCAACTTATCTGCCCTAAGTCTCACCTTGAGTAGTAGTTCTAACCCCAGAGGTTTAGGAGTATTAAATGAGATAATGCATAACAGCGGTTATGATACAGGGGATGGAAACCCCAAATAGGTAAGAAAATAAAAAAGACTTTTAAATTAGACAATATTTTAGCATTAGGAAGACTTACACCCCAGTGTGCTGGTAAAACTTGAAAAAGCAAAAGTGATACTATTGCCAGTAACCTTTGAGAAGTTGTTGCAAATGCTAGATATGTTAGCTTACTGCTCCAATTTTCAAAAGGGAGGGAAAGGAGGATTCTCAAGATTTGGTAATTCCAAACAGTCAGATAGAAGTTTTAACCCCCACAAAAATTCCAGATGGTTTTAGATTATGAAACAGATATTCTATGTGAAAATATTTTGAAGGAAGTTGCGATTACTGAAACTGGAGCCTAATCCAATGCAAAAGTCATGCTGAAAACAAGACTTTCTCTTTTTATTTTTATTTATTTATTTTTTTGAGCAGCTCTAATACTAATCAGAGAATGCCACAGACACATAGTATATCTGCTCAAGGGCGTGTGACAAAGGTGACATGAACTTTCAATATACTAATGCATGTTACAAATACCCAGAGGAAAATACTTGATATAATGCTTTCTAAATTATTTGACTACATAGCCCATTTTCTGCAAAGCATCTAATAAAGTCTTAAAGAAATTGGATTGGGCAGAACAAGAGGACACAACAGACTAAGCCCAGACAATAGTAGCCTCTATTGGTTAGGCAGCCTTTGCCATGTTGTGTTTATTTACAAATGCCGCCCCCTCACACTTTTTTTTTTTAAAGGAACCCAGACAAACTATAATTTTTTCAAAGAAGGAAACCAGAGTAACGAATTATATAAAGATATACCTTCCTAAAAGCAAGAATTATAAACTCTGGGAGAGACACCTGGGAACGAGGTTGTGGTAAAAATCAATTGCAAAATATTCAATGTTATATGGGGAAGGAATTGAATCCAGTGTGTTTCCTTAAGCAACCAAAAATAAGAGTACTATTTAGAAGTTACATACAGGCAGATTCTGGCTAAATATAAAGATTTTTGTGAAAGTACTTGTCCTAGGACTTAACAGTCTAGAATTATACATCAACCCTGACACTTCTTAGATAGGAATTCTTGAACAAATCACTCAACTTCTTAGAAACCCAGTCTTCTTATCTGTACTGTGGGGAAGCTCATGGAGGCACAGAAAAGAATAAATCTCGTGCTAAGTTTGAAAAGAATCACACACCGTTCCTGGAACAGATGAAGAGCTCCATAAGTGGAATTATTAGCACTATGAGTAACATGTGAAGCTACCCCAAAATGAAAAGGATGGAGTCCATCTGACAGTAGAGAAAAGCTCAATAGTGGAATTACATAAGCATATTTTTTAATCTTTCAAAAAAATTAAATGAATTTTAATTTAATAAGGTCAATCGGATTAATTCAATTGATCGATTGTGTAAATTAATTTAACTAATCTCATGAAAATCAAAGAGGCATCAATAGAGTAGAGGAAAGGAAAGAAGGGGAGTGAAGAGGGGAAGAAAACGAGAAATACTGGGGAAATATATATTTTATTTTATATATAATATAGTACATTATGTTGCTATATTGCATGCAGATATGAATATGTAACAATGAATCCCACCATTATGTACAACTATAATGCACCAATTTTATAAAAGGGGGAAAAAAATGGAAAGCTGATTGGGCAACCAAAAGAAAGTAGGTGTGACTAAGTTCCCATCCCTTTGAGCTTGCAGTCACACTGAGCCTGGAAGTTAAAGGCCACTATATTAAACAACCATAATGCAAGGATAAAAGCCTTCAAAGTTGCAAGAGGCTCAGAAATTACCAGAACAGATGATTTTTGAGGGAAAGATGGAAGGCTTCATGCTACCTTCTCGTTAATAATTCTCATTGTCCTCCTTGAGTTAAGAGACTTGCAGAGTTACACCGAATCAATCAACACTTCAAGAAATGCAGCAGGTGGACTTTTGTCAAAGGTTTCAGCAGCCCTAGATTTCTAAAAGTGGTGTCCAGCCTTGTAGCTGTCCTGTTTATCCCCCTGTTTTGTTGTCTTAAACAGCCACTTTCCCATTTGGAACCTGGAGCTGCTGCTGACAAAACAGGAAGTGATTTGAATGCAATCTGCTTTTGTGGGTTTCTTGGACTTCAGGAGTTTTAAAACAAGTTTTAGCTGTTGCCAAAAGTGCCTTGCTTTACTTCCTCTATTTCTTATAGAAAAAAAAAAAAAGTGCAACCCTCTAGGGGTTAAAGTATTGGCACAAAGTACAGAACAAATGCTGACTTAATGAATGTGCTTAGCTTTTTTTTTTTTTTTTTTTTTTTTTGAAAGAAAACATTGGGGGTGGGGAGAGAAAAAGGGAACTGGGAAGAGAAGGAGAGGAAGTTAAACCTTGCTTCCCTCCCTATCTTCCTTAGAAAACCCAATATGGCATCTTCCATGAGGAGCTTGTTCTCTGACCACAGCAGATATGTTGAATCTTTTCGGAGGTTTCTCGACAATTCCACGGAACACCAGTGCATGCAGGAATTCATGGACAAGGAGCTGCCAGGCATAATAGCAAGGTAACAAAAAGGGACGTTTTTGTCAAAGGGACAAGCCTGGGATCACTGTGCGCCAGTGATAGATGGGCTGAGCCCAGCCCCGCAGGCTGGGCGCGGGGATAAGGGGAGTTGCTGATAGCGCTCCTAGCAGCTCCCCCTCTGCCTCTCCTCATGCCCTCTCCTGCCTGTCTCCTGCAGTGCTTTGGTTAGACGTTCTCTTTGCTTTAAACACTCAAAGGCTCCGATTTGTGCTGTATTTCCAGCTGCACAGAGATAAGTGTTAACTCTTTGAAGGCACAAAATCCATGTTCATGGGAAAACATAAGATACAAATCTTTGTAGTCAGATTTTTCAGCCCTCCTCCAGATTTTTACATTTCAAAAAAGTCCCAAATGGAATACAGTATTCTTTTCATTAGAAGCAAATACAAATAATTGCAAAATGCCATTGACTCCTGAGAATTGAGTGGGTACCTCTCAGTTCTCATCATAATATGCATTTAAATTCATTTTCCTTTGTCCCTTATAGTTATCAGTCTTCAAAATATTGTCTTTTCCTTTCAACTTAGTATTAGCAATGTGGTCCTTGAAAAAGAGCATTTTCCATTATCAGTGAAACTGAACTGACTAGTTTTCTTTCTCCCAGACTCACCCTCCTTTTTTTTTTGGTGTGTGATTAATGTGTTCAATTTGTGCCAGAGCTGATAAGCATTATGTGAGTAACAGATTCCACATGCTAAAGATAATCAAATCACCTATCTGGGGATGAATTGCTACAACTCCTTCTGCTTCAGGAAATAATGTTGGAAAACTGGGAAGAAATGATTGACTGTGGATCCAATTTGCAGACAGCAAAGGAATGTGATATTTTATTGTTTGCTAATTTCTCTATTACAGGCCTGACATTCTCTCACCACAGCAGTATCAGGGTCTGATCAGAGCAGACATTGTTGGATGTATGTGGAATTCTACTATCTCCATTATATTGGAAATTTTTATTCAATTTTCATTACAGAGTTTACTTTTTAAATGCTGCTTCTAAAAAATAACAGTATTACATAATGTATTAAGATTAATATGTAATGGAGTAATGATATAAAAATCAAAGTAGATAGTAAAGACAGATAAATTCTTATTTAGGAACTAATTATACATTATTTCTTTAGGTCTTTTTGCTCATTTCTAAAATTAAAGATAATGATTTAATTTCTGCATTCTTTTCCAGCCCTAAAAGAACACATTCCTTTCTTTAGCTTATCCAGATCCTTGGCTTTCTAAAGCCACACAACTTTTTCTGAAGAGGTACCTTGGATCAATATAACATAATCAATAATTAATGATGGATGCCCCTTCCCCTCCCCTGTCTTCAAAGAATATCCAGATCTAACTGGAATGTTGAAAGTTAATTTTTGAAAGGCTGATGAATTTTCAAAGTCATAACTAAATTTGCATTATAATGGCAATATAGAGTTAGGAATGCCTGAGTAAAAATGTCCTTCATTAAGAAAGTAAATTTTTCCTGAAAGTAATGTTTGAAATTTGACTTTAATTGAAGGGCCTTTAAAGATTTTGCTTGAGGTTGTTTATAAGTTATGAGGCACTAAAAAGTGGTTCAGAACTTCACTGTGTATGTAAGGGTAGGGTTGGCTGTTAATTAGGTGTGGACTCAGTCTATTGAATTTAACATTTTTATTAGAACAAGACATGTTCATATTTTAAAAAGTCAGATGGTTCTAAAAAGCTTATAGTAACAACAACAAATCGTAGTCTTCTATCCTTCCCACTCTCCAAAAGCAATCACTTCCAAACCTCAAAATATTTTGTTGCTTATGGAATTTTTTCATAATCTAAAATACATATAATTCTTTTATTTCTTAATTTTGTTCTACTAAAATAACTAACTAAACATACATTTTCCCTGCCGCAGTCTGGCTGCAGCAAAATAACCGGGGGGTGACAAGCAACTTGTGTAGATTGATACAGCAGGAGTGGGAGCCGTTTATTGTAGGACAGGAGGGGTATATATACATTACACACAGCTTATCTTAATTAACATAAACTAGATACAGCAGTCAACCAATAAGGAATCTCTACACTTAATGGCTCGCTGGCGTTACTTCACAAACCACTCCCTCTGGCAAAATGCCAGGCGCCATCCTGACTTGTTTACAGACTCTAACATTTCCCCATCTATTATGTCCAATTGTTTGGTTAAATAATTTGAGTGTCTATACCATTTTTTCTGTTTACATATTATTTATAATTGAACAATATTTATACTCATTACATTTATTTTTCATGTGCAACTTTGAGTCTTGCCTATAATTGACAATGATTGTCTGGATTTTGTTTTTTTATGTTTCTGTTACTACAATGATGCCCAAGCAGCAATTGCTAAAAATAATGTGTTTAGTTTTCTCATGGAAACATCTTTTATGGAGCCTTCTGTTCTTTTCTGCAGTCTGGGAAGATTTGCTTTTGGCTGGCTATATAGCTATTGATGAGGGAATGTGTTTAACATTCTAGAAATTTTTTTCTCTTCAGTATTTGATTGATTTCTTGATGATAGATTGGTGGATTTCAGGCCTTTCTTTCTGGATATCTTTAGTCCACCCCCACCCCCTTTTTGTTTAACCTGAGCTAAGGTTGTAAGAACTTTAAGGGTGAATGAGTGGTGGTAAGCTTTTTGAAATTTTTATGTTTAAAAATCCCTTTACTCTCTGTTTATCCTTTATAGATAGTTTGACTGGGTATAATACTCTACTGAAAATGATTTGTATCATAAATTTATTTTCTGTTTTTCATGTTTGGGGAGATACCCAACTACCCAAGAAGTCTTTATATATATGATCAATAATAATAAGGTACTAAAAAGTGGTTAGTACCCTATTTGTCTATGTATGGGTAAGGTTATTGAGTGAGTGGCTTACAGTGGTAATTGAATATAGACTCAGTTCTTTCCTGGGAGATCTCAGGTACATAGAAGTTTACTACTCAGATTGCTTGTTTCCCCAAAGAGTAAATCTCCAATTTCTTTTCTGGGGTTGGAGGGTGGAGTAGGGTTCAAGGGTTGGTTATAGTATATAGTTGTCAGTAGTCAAGTTTGTTATTGTTGTTACATATAAAGCATATGTTTCTTTGCCTCAGTAATACCAAGTGTTCAGTAATTATTTGTTACCATTTTAATGTATTTAATGGGACAATAATAGTATCTTACTCACAGAGGAGTTGTGAGGATTCCAAAAGTTAATTCATGTAAATCACTTAGCTATGTCCAGAATCACAGTAATTGCTAGCAAATGTTGAGTGCTTGCCACAGAAATATAGAAATATATTTCTAAGAGATTTAGATGAATTAAATAATTTAATACAGCTGCTGTATGACTTAGATACAATTATTAACAACCTTGTGAGGTAGGTGATATTATTACCTTGTTTAACAGAGAGGTCAAATAAGTTGCTCAAGGTAACATATCAGTAAGCTGGGATTTCAGCCTGGATGCTCTGCTCCATAGTCCTCCTGTGCTATCCACAGATATAAGCATTTTTAAAAAGGAGCACAAGATATAGATAGATGAAGATGAGTATACTAAGCCTCAAGATTATAACGTGGAAGTTGATTGGAACTGTCTTTTTCTCTAGCCTTCCTTGCTTCTTCCAGAACCAGGGTCTACCTGTCCCATTCTGTTGCTCCATGAAGACTCCTTCCCTTGAGCTGTATCAAAGGTGTTTATCAACCCACAGTCCAAATGTTGCTGAAAGCTCAGACCTTGTCCCTGGTACCAATCCAATAATGAGGACATGGTTTTGAGACAAAGGAAAAAGAAGGTTTATTCTTTGCTAGCAAAGGAGAAATACAGGGGACTCCTGTCCCAGAGCCTGTGATTCTGCCCCTCAGCCGGAACAGGGAGCTTTTATTTTATTTATTTATTTTTTTTGTAGTTGTAAATGGACGGAATGCCTTTATTTATTTATTTTTAATTTTTTTATTCCAACTTGTTATATATGACAGTGGAATGCATTACAATTCATATTACACATATAGAGCACAATATTTTATATCTCTGGTTGTATACAAAGTATCTTCACACCATTCAGGTCTTCATACATGTACTTTGGATAATGATGTCCATCTCATTCTACCATCATTGTCTAACCCCCTGCTCCTTCCCTTCCCCTCCCATCCCTTTACCCTATCTAGAGTTCCTCTGTTCCTCTCATGCTCCCTCTCCCTACCCCACTATGAATCAGCTTCCTTATATCAGAGAAAACATTCGGCATTTGGTTTTTTGGGGATTGGCTAACTTCACTTAGCATTATCTTCTCCAACTCCATCTATTTACCGGCAAATGCCATAATTTTATTCTCTTTTATTGCTGAGTAATATTCCATTGTGTATATATATCACATTTTTTTTAATACATTCATTTGCTGAAGGGCATCTAGGTTGGTTCCACAATTTAGCTATTGTGAATTGTGCTGCTATAAACATTGATGTGGCTGTGTCTCTGTAGTATGCTCTTTTTAAGTCCTTTGGGTATAGACACAGGAGAGGGATAGCTGGGTCAAGTGGTGGTTCCATTCCAAGTTTTCCGAGGAATCTCCATACTGCTTTCCATATTGGCTAAACCAATTTGCAGTCTCGTCAGCAATGTATGATTGTGCCTTTTCCCCCACACCCTCTCCAACACTTATTGTTTGTACAGAATGCCTTTATTTTATTTGTTTATTTTTATGTGATGCTAAGGATCAAACCCAGTGCCTCACACATGCTAGGCAAGCACTCTGCCACTGAGCTACAGCCCCAGCCTAGAACGGGGCTTCTAAAGTGTTGATTCAAAGGCTACCTTCTGCATGTTCTCTGTTGGAATTGTAATTCACTTGTTAATTTGGAAGATAGTCATTTCTGAGATCTTCTGGCACCTTCCCCAACATCTGGATTACTTTGTTCCTATAGCGGGTGTGTACTCAGGGACAGATAAACTTATTGAGGATGGGGAGGAAAGGTAATACAGTTTCCCTGAGATTAGGGAGGGGGAGAGATTAGGGAGGAGCATGGACAGAGGAAAAGAAAGAAACATGTCCATTTAAAAAAATAAGTCCCAGTGGCAGAGCAGCAAGGGCTATGTTCAGATCATAAAATGGCCCACTGTTACACAAACACAAACATCACCCAGTTCATGTTTTCCTTCTACTTGTCACCTCTTCTCTTCTCACTCTTTAATCTGACGTTTGGCCTTAACTTTCTTTTAAGCCTGTTGTTATCAAACCGATTCATATTGCCAAATCCAATGGACATGTTCTCCTTTGCTATTTCTTTGACACTGCTGGTGGCTGTCTCTGTCTCATTCCCCTTGCACCTCTGAGCTTTGTCACTCTCTTTCCCTATCTCCATTGTGTCTTCCTTATAATTCAGTGACTTTTTAAAGTTTGGTGCTACATCATCATCATCCCTCTGCTCTTCTCGCTTGGCAACATTTTGGGGTGGTGGAGTGCACTCTCCTGCTTGGCCATTACCTTATGATGATTATTTTCCAGAATACGTCATTGATGCCTGACCCTCTCCTACACAGTTAATTTTGCATGTCCAAGTATCTTCTGAATTCAGATTTCTGAATAAAAGAACTGACAAAAGGTAAACTTGCTGTGTCAAACTATATTCTCTGCCACGCTTTACCCAGAGAAACATGACAGTCATTGTACACTTATATTTTTTTTCCTGACCCCTTTCTATCCATCTACAAGCAGGTCCTACTAACTTACTTGCCAGTTCATCTATTCTTCTCTGTTTCTAGTTCTTCTCTGTTTCAGGGCTTTGTTATCTCACATTTCAAACTGAGAGCCAAGTAGTATCTTACTCATTTTTGAATCTCAGAATCTAAGGCTACATACATAAGTAATAGACATTGTTTATTGAAAGAAAGGTGGGAAGCTGGGCATAGTAGTGCACACCTGTAATCCCAGCCGCTTGGGAGGCTGAAGAAGGAAGATTCCAAGTTCAAAATCAGCCTCAGCAACTTAGCAAGGTCCTAAGCAACTGAGAAAGACCCTGTCTCAAAATAAAATATAAAATGGACTGGGGATGTGGCTCAATGGTTAAATCCCTGGTACCAAAAGCAAAACAAAACAAAATGAAGGTGGGAAGAAGGACAGGAAGATAGCAGATATCACAGAAATAGGGTGAACCTCCTGTCCTTTGCCCTATGTATTCTGAAGGGCTGATCACGTCACTGGACTCAAAAGTCCTCATTTATTTTTTCTTGTTCTCCAAACAATCTTCAAGCAAATGGTATGTCATACCTTTACAATGTTCCTAGAGCTGTGTTTAAGTCTCCCAGGTCAAGACTGTTGATGAATGGAATCTGTATGTTTACAAAGACACTCTAAAGAGGGGACTAGAACCACTGAAATAATTGAGACCTTTCATGTTAACCCAGTTTCTGTTTATTGTATTTTTAATCAATTTTCTTCAAATAGACTTGGTAATCAGATTTTACAAAGCACCTTGCACATTTTTTGTAAAGTACATATTTTTTTTTTTTTGTTTTTCAGGATTGGAGATGCAAAATCAGAAATTAAGATTCTGAGCATAGGCGGAGGTGCAGGTATGAATAATACATTTTAAAAGTTTGTATTTTACTGTAAACATCATGTTATTTGATGGCTATCTTTTTTTATTCTTTAGAAAAGCTACTTTGTTTTTGGAAAAGATCAGCACATTAAAACTAGCAATATCATGTCAACTGAGATGAATGCCCCTATAGATTTATAGTTTAGGACATTAACCTTCATTACTATCTGTAACGTGGATAAGTGACGTGACTCTCTTATCCTTTTTACGAATGGGGAAACAGAATAATTTGGAAGTTTACTTTTATCCAAAATGATTTCACAGAAAAGAAGAAGTTCATATGAAGTTTCTTAGGTTTGTGCCACGGGAAGCCTGGTCCATGCATTGGTCACTGGTATATGAGCTGTGGTTCATCTAGCCTCACTAGAAAGAATAAATGCTTGATGGTGTAATTCATTTACACTGTTGTGACGCTACTTTTCAAGTTGCATTGGTCTAAAACCACTCCCTTCTTCTGGTTGAGTTTCAAAACTGCCTTCTAAGCATTTGAAACACTCCCCAAACCTTTTAAATATGGTCCCACTATTCTTGGAGCTAGTGCAAAAATGTGAACTCTGGAAAGGCAGATAAATGTGATGTATGATCTAGGCTGAGACAAAAGCTGCAGTTTTCTCGTCAGTAAAATGAGAATAACGGATTTTTATCTCATAGGATTGTAGTGAGAATAGTATAATTAAAATGTTTATAAAGTGCTTAGCATATTGTTGTTCCTATAAGGCAAGGGCTGTTCCCTTCTGCAAAAATAAAACAAACTTTAACTCATGACTTTGCCTCTTACCAATGCCCAAGTAGTATTTGCTTTATTTTTAAGTTACTAGTCATATGAAAGTTTGAGTTAATATGTTAATATAAAATATGTTAATATAAAATATGTTTTATTTAGATACTGTTTTCTTTTACTGGAGCACTGGTTTAGTAATGATTACCACTTAGTAACACTGATACTAACAATTGTTTCTTACTGCTAAGTGGTAATCTCCGGAGTACATGGGTTCCAGTGACACATGAATGAGTTGAATTTTGACCTATGTTAACACAAAGAAAACCCAGAGCCCTCTAGCAAGATGGAGTGACTAGTTTTTGATAACTTTATTGGTTCATTTTTCACAAAATGCACTGTGATATAATCTAATAAGGACAAATCCTTAAAATCATTTTACTTTGTTATCATCTTTCACCAAGAAAACAGAAACCATCAAGGACAAATAATGAAGGATATTGTTATGGATAATACTATAGAGAGCGTTTAAGCTAAAATACTCCATTATTGCTTACTGATACGATAAGCCGGGAAGATTATATGATACTGTAAGCCTGATGAATTGCCCAAAGAGTGTCCTATTAATTAAGTTAACCAAGACAGTCATTTCCAGTGTGTTTTGCATATGAATTTCAGGCAACCAACAGGCAAGGAGACTATGACTTGATAGTGTCACTTGTGCTTGGACAAAATGAGAAGCCCTAAAAGAAAAAGTAATTAAAAACAATCTCTATCATGACCCAGTTAATTGACCTTTTAATGTAAAGTTAATTGAATTTCTAATGCAAATTTATCCAGGTCCTTATGAGCTATCTAGAGAAAGGAACATTTGGCCTGTACAGCATTTCCTCACAACCAGGTACACCTAGAAGCTAATAGAGAGAACATATGAAATAAAGGGAATTTCTTCTGAGGGAAGTTCTTCTGAGAGAAGCTGAACATTGTGTGAATAACAGGCTCTGCCTTGCAGAGAATATGGGTGCTCTTCAGGGTCATTCTTCATATGAAACTGATCAGAAATGTAAAAAGAAATTCAAGTTATAGATACTTAACTCTCACTACCTAAGTGAACTTCATGAAATCAAAAGCAATGCATTTAAAATCCCTAGGTCTAGGTATTCTTGTTGTGAGCAAAAGCATTTTGAGGGGAAGGAACATTGTAGTTAATTTCAGTGCTCTTCTATTAACTGGGTGGCGATTATCTAATAACCTTTCTTTGCCTAACTGCAAGCATGTGCATGGAGGAACTGCCCATCCTTTCCTTAGAGAAATGGTCTCCCATGTATTCTATGATCTACAGTGTGCCTGAGATTGTACATTATTTTTCCAAATCAATCACTTAACTCTAATGCCTGGCAAATGAGGCCATTGGCCTTCTCCTGCACTTTGTGACTCTGTGCTCAGCTCCCATAGTACAATAGTGGGATCCCACTGCAGTCGTGGCTGACGGGCCTCTCTGGTTTCACTGCCTCAACGTTCTCTTCTTGGTTGCCCAGACAACTGCAGGTGTTTTCTGCATATCTGTGATCATCTCTGCATTTGTAACAGTGCTACCATTTCTTCCAGCACAATTGAAAAATATACCCAAAGCAGACAAAGTAGAAACTTCTTAAGTGAAACTGCTGCTTTTAAGCCACTTAGTGCTCATGTTCTTTGGGGCTTATTTGGTTTCCTTTTCAGAAACATGAGCAGGGAGTGTGTGCATGTGCATCCTATCTATTAACCTCTCTTATTTAAAGGCTGGTGTTTGTGTGGAGAGAGTTCCTATAGTTTATGAAAAACAATGTAAGATATTTGAAAAAGGTGTTGGACACTTCAGTTCAAAAGCCAAGCAATTATCAGGGCTCTAAGCAGTTCAAAAGAAAGGAAATTGATGGTAAACTCTTTGGTGTAGGATTTCAATAATCTTTCACATCAGTAAAATACAATCGATAAGCAGCACTGTTAACCATAGATTATATGTTCTAGTGTTAGGAAAATGTGTGTGATAAATACTACATGAACCCCCAAAAAGAAAGTGAAGGAAAACAAATCATCAATAGAATTAGAGACTACATAGCTTTCAGAGAGCCCAAACTGAGAAATTGTGTGTGTATATATGCATGAGTTTGTGTGCTTTAATGAAACATAAGGAGCAGCTAGGATTGCTTTTTTCAGGGTCTCTGTGTATTCATATCATATTAATTTCAGCAATTGTTTTTAGGTTTTAAGAATAATTGCTTTGTATTCTAAATCTCACAGAATCTGCTTTTGGGTCCATCTTTAACATTAATGCTTCCTAAAATTAAACTACCCGGTGGAGCTTCATTATTATTCATCCTTTAATGAGTATTATATTTATGCTAGATGGTACATGGAAAAAAATAAGCCCATATTTCTTTTGGTAAGGGAGAATGCTATTAATTTACAGTGCATACATTTACGCCTGGAAAAACATTCTGGAAGGCAATAATGGGCAGCATGTTCTCCTTGCTCTGGACTTTGCTTAAATGAGAATCATTCCATCTGCCTCTCAGTTCTTATGTTCAAATGTCAGGAAGTTGTGTAAGGGTTAGACATAACTAAAATTCAAATAATTTTATTCTATCCAGTTTTTATTTCTGTTTTCATTAACCTCTAGTATACCAATGCAATTGCCATACCATATACAATATCATTGCATATATGTTTATTGATAATTATTTAATCCATTTAGGCAACTCACATATGGTATTTTAAATGCATGTGGTATTTCATATCTTTTTGGTGATAATTTTACTGATATCTGTTGAGAACAGTTAGGTGTTTTTCTTGCTCTGCAACACATAAATACCAGCATTCCTATATAGGTTAAAAAACAGAAGAGACTTTAGAAACCATCAAAACACTCACTTTACAAATAAGAAGCCTGAGAACCATTAAATTTGAATAAAACCCAGGTCTCTTTAGTCCAGTCCAACAAGTTAAGTTAACAGATATAAAAAGTAATTATTAACCTGGCCAAGGAGAGATTAGTTACTTAGTAATGACCAACTATTTGAAAATCTAATTTTATCAGATTCTTAATCTTGGCTCCTTTCACAAATGACATGTTAAAGTGACACAGAAATTTATAACTTTAAGCTAGTTGGACAGCAGTAGAATGGATGTAATTAGAGTAAGAACTAGAAGAGCCAGTATGTCCGGTGTAGAAACCAGGAGGTGGCAGGAAGCAAAGGTTAATGTTTTCCAGTGACCCAGTGTAAGCCAAGAGTGTAGAGCAACAAATTAGGAATGATTAGGGAAATATAAAGAACTTGGGCTTTTTCTTTTCTTTTTTTAAAAATTTTCTCCAGGAAAAAAAATTTTTTTAAATGCTCTTATTGTCATCTTCAGATAGATCCTGTTGAATAAACTGCAAAATACTTGCACCCAAGAGGCCAGTGGTTCAAAGTTCCAGAAAGTGGTTTCTCAGCTCAGTATAAGAAGTTGCTAATGATCAAACATGTCCTGAATTCACAGCTATATCTTAGGCAATAGTGTCATCTGTCACTTTAAGAGTATCGGCATAACTGAAAAAGTACCTCTCAGACATGTTATGGAATCTACTTGGACATTGATGCCTTGGGTATTTGGATTCTTAAAGGCACTTTCCGTCCTGAAAAATCTATGGTTTCTGAGAAACCTTTCAGGAAAGAGGTGGGCCTTTATCCAGCTGTATCACTGTTAGGAGGAAGGTTGCTCAGAAAACACCAAGTCCCAGTTTTGTCCAAATTGAAGAGTCTTTATTTAGCCGGCGGGCCAGCGACTACTCCCCACAGGACCCATAACTGTCTCTGCAAGGAACAGCAGCAAGCCTGAGCATATTAGGATATTTAAAGGTAAAAACTGTAAAAAACTACATCCGGGTTGCCCGTATAGTCTGGCCCATAACATTGTCACATATTATTAGGCTTCCCATCATAAAGTGAAGGTAAGAATGGACTCCTCATGTCAGAGATGCATGTGCTGGTATTAAATAGCTTAAATTGCAAAGATTTACTCAGTAGTGAATGTCAAACAGAAATTTATTCACTAGTTAAGAGGTCACATCCCAAACTGGCACAAAACCCAACAAGAAACAAATGCTTCAGGAAAACTACAATAACTATATAACACAGACTTTCAAGTAGATTGCAAACAATCCATACTGAATGAAGAATACTCAAATGCTGATGACAACAACAGAAAGACCGAGGCTCTACCATAGGACATAT